TTTACTCTAGTTAGATTGTGTCATGTCTGAACATGATGGAAGGGAGGTTTTAAACATTGGCCTTCTGTACCTCCTCAACCCCTGAAGAGAAGAAAACGACATATCTTAAAGTCGATTAAAGGCTCAAATTACAAATAGGCAAAGAATGTGGTATATTCTCTAACCTAATCGCAGAAAAAGGAAAGAATCGATAATTATGCCCAAATGCAAAGACAAACTGTCTTCGCTGTCAGTTTTTAGACGAGGCGGCGGAGAGTTCTAGAAGTCTCGATTTCGGTCGAGTTTACATCGAACAAAGGCGACCGAGGTAAAAAGCGTTACTCGGAAACCAACTCATTATCGAAAGTGGAGCGAAGTCGCGACGCATGCGACGAGTTTTAAGTGATTGTCGTTTGCTTTGCACGTGAAGGATGTCGCTGATGCGTGATCACAGAAAGGAGCACCTTACTTCTGACAAGTCTTCGTATTCTCTAAGCTACCGAGATGCCCATGAGAAAATTTACAAACAGAAAAGATTCGTTGCTATCATAATGAGCAAAGAGAAGTGAAACCTTCTGGTAGCCATGCTTTCATCAGATCAACACAGAACCGCCGGTTTCGAAGAGAGAAATTTGTCGTTCTGGAAGACAATCAGGATACATATTTGAAGGTAAGCAATGAGCATCAGCCGATGTATTCGGCATTGGGACCATTGTGCCAACAAACTGAAGAATCTAACAGTAGAGGTGTTAAACTGGTCCATAATCAGGCAGGGAGGGGCGTAATATACAATGTAGTTGAAGTTCGTTGCCACATTCCCGTGCGTCATTGTATGCCTCTGAATTGCAACAGAAAACTGAATGCAGGAATTCCTCATGAATGTTTAGTTTCTACGAGGGAGCTATGGGCAGGAATCTCTGTCGATCGCTGATCCATCTGACCGATCAGGCACTTCAGCACAGCATTATTATCTCAGTGACAGGGAGCAGCTCATCGAGTTCGATAACAGCTTCATTTCGAACGAAATGATGCAATCTGATGTTGACCAGTCGTCAGTGGCTCTTCAAATGGAAAACCTTAAGGTTTGGTACATCCGCATTCGGAACAACGCGACAGGATGTTCAATGATCAGATATGCGATACGCGACACAGCGCTCATGGTCCAAGCGGAGAAGATGAGACGCAGGCCCAAGATTGCAATGTTCAGACAAGTTATAGACATACTGAAATTGCAGCACTCCTTTAGCACTGACTGTTCAAGCATCGGAGGAACCAATTTTAGGTTCTCAACTGTCACCTTCCGCGAAGAGATTTTTAAGTCCAATTTATTCCAAGGGAGATTGAAGATGGGCAATGGTCGGAAAGCTTTTTAGCAAATGACCTAGAAGCGTGAAGGGCAAATACCTCAGCTCTCATACTCCAGAACATGTCAAGATAATCCAATTAATTCGCTCAGGTTGTAACCAGCTACAAACAATACCTATAGCAGCAGCTTCACACCTTAATGCCACGATAACTTCACCGTAGTGCTTACTAAATGAGCAATCGTGACCCCCCCTCGCTTCGAATATGACTCCCTCAGATGCAACATTGTCCCTCCTCTGACGCAATCACTAACACGTGTTGAAAGCAAATCATTTCGAATGCGGTTGTCTTTTCGCAGAGCCTAGATAAATCGATATCTTTTATCGGTTGATCGCAAAACAGCACAGAGGAACAGCCTTTCAATTAGCACAGTATCGACTGGCAAATCGTAGCTACTAAAAAAGAGCCCAAGTGTTACGGGCGACACAAACTCTGAACTTTAGTAACGGGCAATGAAAATCGTACTTCAACAGCTTGCCGAGTTATGCGACCTAAACGTGGACCAAATAAGAGCAATGCGCAACTCGCTATCTTAAAGATTAAAGCAATTCCTCACCGACGAACACAATTGCGGTAGGGCAATTTATGACGTCATTTGCGAAATGCAATTAGCCGAATGCCGTTCGAGCCATACATCCGATAGCACTCCCTTCACACAGTCATTGTTCAATCAGTCATTATTTCCGTCTGTACAGAAGACCAATTTCCTTAGCCATTCTTCCGACCTAGTTGCAGGACATTTTCATCACTTTTCAGTTTCATAACGTATAACTTGTTGAAGATCAGATTTCGCAGAATATTCCACCACCTGATTAACTATGGTTGTCAAGGGGGCATTTAAGCAGGCCATGTCACAGCTCCATTGTGTTTGAGTACCCGCTGCAGTTCTAAAGAGATCTTGCATCATTTTGTCCCTAGAGCCACCTCGTGCTCATCACAAACGATATTCAACGATATGGCATTTTTTGTATGTTACCGCTTCATATCAAAATACGCTCTTATGCCGAATTATGTTAAACAGTGCATAACTTCTCCAGAACCAGATTTCACAGAGTATTGCGCCGTCACATTTCTCACGGTTGCTCTGAATCTGATCTTGGAGGAGTCATGCGTTTTATGATGTAATCTGGTGTACGAATACACCTTCCAGTCTATCTGGTATATTACTAGCTATGCTCATACTTTCAAGTTGGGGGAGGCGTTAAATAAAAAGTCGTCTGGTTTTGTTCTATTTTACAGCACTACGCAAAATGACACTGCATCAACAGCCAAACCATATGGTATGAGAGAGTATCGCTTATGTGACGTGTTAGCATACACAAGCATGTACAGTAGCATCATTACAAAGATGGGGCATGATAATAGTGCATGATCGAAGAAATTACTAAACGTAAGCTCACTACAAGTCCAACCTTTAATTTAACTTTGTTCAGTCGGTAGATTGCTGGAGGTTTGCAGCCAAACGAACGCGAATTCAAATACTAGCTGGAAGACGCTTCTTCGATATTAGCAGATGGATTACTGGAGGTAGTAGAAAACCTGAAGGGTACAAGAGATTAAGCAGCAGACACGCCTAGCAAATATCATCGCAAGAAAACCAACCCTGCAGCTATAATTCCATAGATGTAGGTTATGGCAGACAACGTAGCGTCTATCATAGAACTATAAAGATTGATACTGCAACGCTTACAAACATTTCGTTCGTTTTTTAAAGTACAGTCTGACGATTCATGTCACGAACGAGAAATATGACCAATGAATAAGATGGCATGTTAGAACGAGGTACGGTGGTGCATACTGCCTTCAGCAGCAAGTAGCAGCGAAAACTTCATGGACGTCAAAACCGTCAACCAGTCAGATTCTGGTTAATGGGACAGT